AGCACGTGTGCACAGGGGGGCAGCGACCTTAAAAACTACACTACAGTGCAAATTATACAGTAAACTGAAATAAAACAATCTAGCTTGGTGCCCAGACCTCCTCGGCCGCCTGGTCCCCCTCACACAAGTACCGGCCATAACCCCCTAATGGCGGTCCAGGCCGGGTACTCGGATCGCGACCCCCCTGTTCACTTGCGGGACCCCTTATGGGGTCGCGACCCACACTTTAAGAAGCGCTGGTCTAGAGCAGGGGTGCCCATTAGGTAGATGGTGATCTACCAGAAGCTCTCAAAGCTGATGCTGGTAGATCAGGAAGGGTGTGAATGGCGGCCCCTTTATTTCATTCTGGTATATTTATTGAGCTGTGCACACATGATCACCTATTAGCCTGAGTCTGCTGAGCCAAGCTCCCTGACACCTTTCTGGTGGATACTGGTGGTTGAAGTGCTATGTATTACATCAAAAAATATTAGTTTACACAGCCTGTTGCACTGCACTGTTTGCAAAATACAGCAAGGTGAGCCAGGAGAGAGAGCAAGGAGAGAAAGCCAGCAGAGAGCAAGGAGAGACAGCCATGGGAGAGAGAGCGAGGGATGTTTTTTTTCCATTGGTAGATCTCATGTAGCTCATCATTTGAAAAGTAGCTCTTAACACAAAAAATTGTGGGCACCCCTGGTCTAGAGCATTAAACTATGGATTGATTTGTGGGGGGCGCTAATGAAAGAATTTCCCACGGGCGCCTAATTTTTTACCCAAATAGAGCTTTCTTTTGGTGCTATTTGATCGCCGCTGGTTTTTATTTATTAAATTTTTTGATATAAATGAAAAAAATTAATCGTGGGAAATAAATATTTTCAACTTTTTGTTATACAAAATATCAAATAAAATCAAATTTCTTCATAAAATTAGGCCAAAATGTATTCTGCTAAATGTTTTTGGTAAAAAAAAATCCCAATAAGTATATACCAAGTGGTTTGTGTGAATTGGTACCAATTATAAGTCTTTCGAAAACATGGTTTTTATCCCTTAAATAAAATATCATTTAAAAAATGTTATTGGAAAAATATTAATAGTAATAAAAGCTGCTGCGCTCGGGACACTGAAGTCAAATTGTATATAGATGGGTGTGCAGCGCTCGGGGTCACCAATAGGTGAAATGTCAAATGCGTAATTAAGTGTTACCAAAAGAACGTGTAATCAAAAAAATATATAGGTGTTTGCAACCGTTATTAATATACTAAAGTGAATGCCAGTGAAATAATAAATAGATAAGTACCAAATTTCACTTCGTGCAAAAGTGTAATAAATTATTTGTAATAAATTATGCCTTATATAAAATTCCTTGTTGCGAACAAAACGTGCATCAAATACAAAGGTTATCAATAAAAGTGATAAACATCAAATCAGCTCGAAGTCATCTATAAAAGTGATAAATCACCAAGTGAGTTACAAACTGTTATAAAATCCAGATATATATGATATATTGATGATGAAACCAAGCTTCAAGCAAAAGCTTAATCTTTCTCCCACACCATGTGTCCACGACAAAACTCCCCTCTGGGATGCGCACTCACCAGACCTACAGTGTTTGTAGGCAAAAGAAATGAGAAACCGATAAGTAGTCCCAGCAGCCGTCTCATCAGCATCGCATGGATCGGTATTTAGCAAAAAGAAAAACTCCTCATAGTGTAGTCGACATCAACATTTATTTGGAATTTTTATTTTTATTTTGCCTACAAACACTGTGGGTCTGGTGAGTGCGCATCCCAGAGGGGAGTTTTGTCGTGGACACATGGTGTGGGAGAAAGATTAAGCTTTTGCTTGAAGCTTGGTTTCATCCTCAATATATCATATATATCTGGATTTTATAACAGTTTGGACGCACTGTTTTATGATATATCTAGCCTTTAAATGTTGGGTTTGTGGTTTAGTAAAGAAGTAAACAGCTTAGAATTCCATTGTAAGGGTGAGTGAATCTGCCCGAGTTTGATTCGAAAAGGGCTTGGGTAAATTTAAGTGAACCTGAATCTAGTGGCAAATCCCATTCAAGTCAAAGGGACAATTCATGTTAGTAATTTGTGACAATTTCTTGGGGTATAAGTTAGTAAATTCTAGCCATTTTAGGCATTAAAGGCAAACTATTGTAAAAAAAAAAAAAAGGCATGGGGAGCTGGACATGGCCATGGGAGATATGTCACAATGGAAGAAAAATTCTTTAAAAATTACCATACAGTGGGGACACGACCTGTCAGGAAGCCAGAGCCGGAGCCAGGATTCTTACACTGTGGTATGCGCATGGTGCAGCTCATAGAGTTGTGTCCGGTGCAATGTCTCAGCATAAACGTGCGCGCGTTCTTGTTCACGTGCGTGCGGGCGCGCGCCGATGTATTGTTTGAATTTTTGTCGCCCTCTGGGCTATATAAGGCTGTGACTGACAAACCTCCTTTGCTGTCAGATTTGTCAGCTTCCCTGTGAGTTCCTGCATCCTGTTCCTGAGTATCTGTTCTGTTATTGACCCGGCTTGGCTTGACCCTTCTGCTTCTCTCCAGTGCTTCGACCCTCGGCTTGTTTCTGACGTTCTTTCTGCTTCATCCCCTGGTACTGCGTTGCCTGCATGTTGATGACCTCGGTCTGTCCTGACGATTCTGCATGATCCGTTGCCTGCCTGGACCTGCACCCATCTCTGCATCTCCTGCTCTGCGGATCTATCTTCAACTGGCACTCCTGCCCCTCTGTGCCCCGGCACTCCTGTACCCAATCCAGGTGCCCCGGGACCGGAGTTGTGAGAGAGGTCGCCCTCGACACTTCAGACTCCCCTAAGGTACGTGACACGACCTTTTCATTAAGCGTTGAAGACAACATTGAAAATACACAAATCCTTTAGCTTCTTTTCTACATTTAAGGTTTAACAACTGTGTAGAGGGGATTTCCTCAACTTTGGAAAGATATTCTCTTACTTCTTGTTGACTCTACAGGACAGGAAGTGAAGGGAAATCTCTCTAATGAGACCCAGATAGCAGAAACCAAAAGTGGTTTTAGCCCCCCTTTACTGTATCCAAAGTGAAAGCGAAAGTATAGGCTTTAGAAATACTGTAACATCACTCATCAATGTAAATTCATTGTGTTTCGGTCCTTTCTCTCTAATCATATTTAATCTCAGGCTCATGGGCCGTTATTTGTGAATCATTAATAGGTTGTGTTTATTTACAACACAATAAAGGCGTCAATGTTCTCTAGAAAACGATGAAGTCGTGTACAAGGCACATCTTATTATTCTGTTTCATTTCCCCATTCTTATAAAATAACTCTTGCGACATCAACACTAAACTTACAGTAAATGCCCTTGTGCTTCCTTTTCTTTGCAAAAAACAACGCCTACTTTTTTATTTTTAATGTATTCCTCCTTTTCTTTTGAATATCACGCATTGGACTGGCTCATCTTGCTCTTGTTGGAGTGAATTCATTATTTCGGTGATTTCACTTTCCTTGGGAAACGCTAAAAATATGTTTTTGAACCTCTGTTGGCTGCTTGTAGCCGTTGCTTACCAGGCAGAGGGTCGAGTTGATAAAGATTTTACAAAATGTTCCCAGGCCTTCTACAATAATACCATGCCTGTTGGTTTTGAAGGCATTGCCACACCTCATGACTTTAAGGAGATACCGGATGGAATAACAACAATATCTGACCTGAAGTCTCCGGCGTATATTTGTCAGACGCTTGGAGGGAACAGTTACTACGCCACTTTATATGACCGAGGGAGGCGCATTCCCCTGTATTCTGCCTACATCCTGGACAGGAACAGCATAGACCCAAAGCCAAACTGTACACGAACCAGTACATTTAAGTTAGAGCCGCAGGTATGTACATGCCATTTAAAAAGCAAATGTAGTATTCTGTTTCATATTATATTAATATCGAGTGAATGAATTGCTAATAAGGGGTTGTATTTCTTCAACCATTTTATGATATCCCTATCATCCTCTACATGAGTCATTGTGAAGGTTGGAGCAGTTAATGCAATTGGAAGAAAAGGGCATAGAAGGGGCAACTAATATCTGCACCCTCTCCCATCTACTGCTCCTAGTCATTCTGTATCAATGGGTATTATGTGGAGTAAGTGTTTAACCACTTCAGCTCTCGTACCTGTATACCCCGTATGGACCAGAGCAATTTTAACATGTCCACTATGGGCTTTTTAGTGATAACCTTGTCATTACTCAAGAATGGATGGCACTGTGTAGTTGGTCAATTTCACTACCAATAAACCTCTCGAGTATGAATGAATCAATTAATTGGGCTTGAAAGGGTCAGAAAAAATAGTAAGATTTGGCTCCCATACACACCCCCTGGAGCTGCATTACCAAGTCAGCCTGGGCTCACCGGAGAATGATGCAAAGAATGAAGCTCACTTCTCTACAAAAGAGCCATTCTCTGCAGCATTGGAAACTGCCCACCACTAGAAGAAGAGGAGGAGGACGACCCGTGATGTCACGTGATCAGACAGAAGACCCCTTGAAAAACTGATTTTTATACATAAAGGGGCCAAGTGGCCAGAGTGTATGTGTGAGGGGAGAAGTGGGTTAGGGTTAAGGTCAGCCTGAAAACAGGCTTTAAAACAGAATCAGCCAGACAAAAAAAAAAGTGTGTACAGCTTAGGGAATCAGGAAATGGGCATATTAACAACCCTCCCGCCTTCAGAAATGAAGATAGCTTAACTCTAGAGATGAGGTTCGTGTTTGTTGCCAAGTTGGGTTTGCAGTGAACGTTGAATGTTTACCATTCACCAAAATGTCAAATTTATGGGCAAGATCACTAAACCGCCAAAAGGGAACTCTATAATGCTTTGCATGACCTGTGCACTTTGGTCAGGTAAAAAGTTATGGCCAATAATGGGGCTTTGAAAATGTGTCAGCCTTCTGCCTATAAAAGTCATCTCTCCCAGCATTCTTTGTCAGTGTGTGTTAGAGTTAGTCAGGGACAGCTGACAGTTTGTGAGGGAGAGGAAATTTTTTCTATGTGTACAGTGCTAGCACAGAGTTCTACAGTGCTATGGTCAGTACTCCATATTGCCTGCTACATTATAGTGAATTGCATTGTGGGTGGGCTGCAGAGAGTGGCATGGACCCTCCACCTTCTATTCACTATGCTGTTCAGTGGCATCTGTGTTCCTTTACTGTGAATTGCATTGCGGTGTGACCCATACTACCCAGGCCTGGACTACACCGGCCATATACTGGCTGGACTACACAGGCCAGCTTTCACTCCCCATGTGCATCAGTGAGCCTTGGCTGCCCATGACCTTGTCACCGGTTCCCCAGTTTTTCTTCCTTGGACCATTTTTGGTCGGTCCTGACCACTGCAGACCGGTAACATCCCACAAGAGCTGCAGTTTTGGAGTTGGTCTGACCCAGTCGTCTAGAGACATCACAATTTGGCAGTAATGTAAAACTGACATGTGTGATTTGTTTTGTTCCGAATTGAAATTCGGACGAAATTTTGGAGATTCGGATGTTTCCGAATTGCAGATATAATAAATGCAGACGAATCCGAATTTCCAATTCCAAAATTCGTTAGCGGTAGTCTGTACAAAATTTTGTTTGTTGGACGAAATTTCGTTGCAGCAAAGTCACACTTGAGGGGAAGATGTTTTATTTATTTTTTTCAAATCTCACTTTGCTGCAACGAACGAAACAAAAACGAAACGAGAATTCATACAGTCTACCGCTAACGAATTTTGTCCGAATACCGAAACGAATTGTCTTTCGGACCCAAATCCCGAAAAACAAAATAACGCAAAATCCGAATCAAAACAAAACTAAACAAATGTTTTGCCTGTGCACATATCTAATGTAAAATTTAAGAAATGTATTACACATACACACAATGTGTCACTGACACTGTCTCCTGGAATTGTAATGTTGTATAACACCACACATAGCCTAAAGCCATCTATGTAGCATGTTATTTGAAGAATTGCTGTTTTTCCAATGTCATCCTCTAAGTGTTACATTGTCCCAGGGCTGTACCCAGCTCCCCATGCTCTTTGTTTGACAAACCCTTGCCTATTCACCTTGAAAATTAAGAGAATTGCTTTCCAGGGTTCAACTTCCCATGGGGTTCACATTAAAGTTTGCACATTGTTCACCGGGCGTACCCGTGAATTATACCCATGCAAGTTTGCCCATTACTATTTATCAGTAGGGTATAAAAATACAGCTTGTCTTGTGAGTGATATACAGAATATTTCAATATTTTTTGTATTATACTTGCAGCTGATTTATCGGAACCTAACTGAAAATATGCAATCATCTAAGGATACAGGCCAATCGATAGCCAACTATAGCAAGGAAAATATCATTTTATTAAACATATCTAAAAACAAGCCAGACAATCTTATGAAAGCAAGCCAGGCTGTGGACTATGACTATGGCAGCAAGACTGATCCTAACAAGCCTACTACTGCTACTAAGTATACCAGAGGACATTTAAATCCTTGCGGCCATCATAAGGAAAAGGAAAACTTCTTGTCTACCTTCACTCTGACCAATGTTGTTCCTATGGTAGCAGAGTTGAATAATGGTGAATGGAGTAAATATGAGACGGAAATGATCTCTATTTCAGCAGGCTGTGACAAAATGTACGTAGTGACCGGCGCTGTGCCAGGTAATAATAAATTGAACGATCGGGTAACCATCCCCAGTTACGTGTGGAATGCCTATTGTTGTGTGGATGGTTTCAGTGAGCCAATCAAATCTGGAGGTGCTATAGCTGCAAATGACAAAGCGCTAATTACAGACAACAAGTTTAAGGTAGTAAAAATGGAACTCAGTGACCTCCAGGACGAACTGAAAAAACATCTGGGAATTTCAAATAACATTGAGTTTGAGATATTCCAGCAGTGTAAGGAATGGAGGTTGGAAAATTATTTAACTTTAATTTCTTCTGTAATCGAGGAAATATTAACATAATTATTCTCAAGTAAATGCTTGGCTCATCCTTATACTAACAATTCCCCCCCCCCCCCCCAACAAACAAAAAATAGCATATCCTGAGCTTCCCAGGTCATTTATGTAACTGTTGATATAATGTGATGACTCCTCTGGGCTTGTCACAATGCACATTGTCCTGTGCTTACAGCAGGGTCACTGGGGGACCACTGTATTGCATACAATCACCAAAACAGTATGGTCAACTGGTCAAGAAACCCCTGAAGCACAGGCCTCATATAGTAGCAGATGAACTGTCATTACTGACTTACATCAACCAACCCAGTTTCAATGTGCACTGGAAAACAACAGGTGTAGAAGACCTTAAATCTGACTGGTAGATCATCACAGATGGTACCTTTATCATTAAGAATTATAGATTAGAATAGGACCTTTGACTTCCTTCCTTGAAGACATGAGAGTTGGATTCATTAGTCTTCATTGTTGAAGCCAACCAACATGATAGTCTAAAAAGTCATTTCAAATATGTACCGTATTTTTCCGTCTATAAGACGCCCCCAACTTTTCTTACCCAAAATTCAGAAATCAATATTTTAAATGATATTATGCATCACACTTACCTCTGGGCCAATCACTTTATTCAGCCTCTGTTGCATCACTGGTTTCTTCATCACTTTTAGCTTCAAACATATCAGTTTCTTCAACTTCTGCTGCATCACTGCTGTCTGCTGAGTCACTGTCTATATATACAAGATCATCCTCAGTTCCGTCCCTGGCATTGCTGATTCCACATTTCTTGAAGGACTTCACAATCACCTCTTGTTTGACACCATACCATGAGTTTAGAGAGTTTACAGGTTGTTTTTCACTTTCCGAAATTTTTATGGTCACAGAATGCTCCGACATTACGGCTCTGGGCACTGCCTACACGATCTCCCCAGCAACAGCTCACGTCAGGTTCAAAAGATTTATGACTGGAGGAGAACTGTTATCTTGTCTCTGTAATCCGTGAGGCTAGTTTGCAGTGGTATCAGCACTTTCAAAACCGCGGCCCCC